ATTCTTTTCGGTTTTGCTTTCTATTTTCTGATGTTGGCTTTTACGGTAGGAATTGGCTGAGCCATCTACAAAAAGTGCATTCAGTTTGTGCGTACAACAGTCAACACGGGGGCGAAATGTGTACTTTTCTTTTTCGCAGAAGACATTGCATTTGGTACTTAATTTGTATGTTTCTTGAAGCTTTTAGTTGGTCTACTTAATTTTGCTTTGTGGAGGATTGTACACTAATGACCTGGTGGATTATGGCTCTTAGCTGATTAAGGGAACTCCTTTTGTTGACGGCTGATGCAGCAACGTAGTTCTCTGGCAACCCATACCTCATAACTGCACCTCTCGGCCTCCATAATCTCCTCACCGTAAGAATCAAAACTTTTTTTTTCTCAGCTTTTATAACGAGTGACCTGAGGGACGTGCCCTCATGCAGCTTTTTTTCCCAATGAACCTCCAAACACCTTATTTTCTGATTTTTTTTACCTTCATCAGAGATATGAATGCTGGCTTTTGCTGGAACAAACAAGTGCAAGCTCTACAATAATTTTTAGGTTCGAATGTAATTAAAAACGTTTTTTAAATTAATATGTGATGACTTTCTCTAACCTTGGGTATAAGGATTACAAAGAAAAAAGAAGAAGCATATTATACGGTTTTCTTTAGAGTTGCAAATCTTACGTGCAATATTATAAACATGTCCATGCAATATTTCGATGATATATTTCTCAAAAAAAAAAAAAATTTCTATGATAAGGTTTGGCTTCATGTACGATTTTACTTAAGATGTAAGATGAAGAGTACTCTACACGATTCACATGTGTGGAACCACAGCTAATTTTCTTTCAGACCATTAATATTGGTGCTTTCGTGATTGCTCATATTGTGATTGAACGTAAAAAATAAATGTTTAAACATATGCTTTCTTGAAAATCAATATATATTCTAACTAAATATTTTATTAGAAAAACTAGGGATATAACAATATGAGTGAAATCCAAAAACATAATTAATTAGAGCTATGAAAAACAGTAAAACCACGCAAATAACACATGTGCGCTACACTTAAATCATTAGAAGAGTGTATTGAAAATTGAGAAC